CGGATCGATTATCACCACTTTGCACGATTTAGTGCGTGTTCTCATCATCATCATCTCATCATCTTCACGTTGGTGGACTAACTTTTCACCTGGGTTGCCCTGCACAAAGGAGGACATTTGACTTCCTTGCTCGTCTTCGTCTAGGGCTGGAAAGAAGGGAAGCTGAGCGTATGGTATTCCTGCTTTAGACTCCCTCCCGCAAAAATTCTCTCAACTAGGCTTTCCGCAACCCAGACCGATTAATGTTTATCAGTAATTTTTCTTACTGCGCGCTGATTTCAGAGACCCGAATGATGCGTTATAATGGTATCCTCGTCCTTCTCCTGATCGTGACACTACTAGCGCTATCTGAAGGCGTACCCTCGTAAATCTCCATTTGAAGAGCTCACTTCCTTCATAGACTCGCAGGATTCCAAGGGCAAGTTACGAATTATATTACTGTTGAGGAGTTCAATCTTCAATTAATTTCACTTTCAGAAATGGACGGGAAAACCTTAGAAAATAAGGTGTTCAATAGTATATTTGACGCTGTTTTCGATGGAATGTGGTAAAGGGATTATTGATGGACAGTGTGATCGACAAAGTTCCGTGCAGTTAACTTCATCGTATTGCCGGCTACCGTACTCCTGTATTGATGATATTCTCACAAACTATACCAAGCAATATAATGGCTTTAGTGACTAAATTAGTCTTCCCTCAAATTTGGTGCTCTACAGTTGCCAAAAATTTAACAGTTTTCCGTACTTTACTAATTATCGTCATCCATTGTCAGAGAATACTGCATTAGTTTTTGTTAGTAAATCGACGTTTTTCTCGTCTTCGCCGCGTTGTTGAAGGGGTTGCTGGGATTATTTAGTTATCGCTGTTTAGGCACTGGATTCATTAAATGCTGTAATGTGTAATGGTAATGTAATATTATCAGTTAATTAATTGCATTTTTGTCTTCTTCATTTTGTAATTCTATTAAGAAATGTGTTATCGAGTTCTCTGTGAGGCAAAAGGTCGCGAAGTGGAAGGGTCCATAATGAGAAGGGGAGAAATACCACAGACACTTGTAGCGGATTTCTTCGAAATAGCGGGGGACCAAATGGCGCCAGCACCGAAAATGAATATAACCTTCGATTAGAGCACCGAACAGCCTCTAGAGGGTAGGTGGTACAGTATGCTTTGGGGTGAACCCATAGGGTTTTGTCGTGCCTCTGCCGGGGAAGGGGGGGATACGTAAACGCAGGGTCGTAAAGTACCAAACAGCACAAATGTGTCATTGAGTGCGATAGAGCGGACAGAAAGAAGCAGAGGAGCCGAACGTACGGAAGACTACAAAGTGTCAAAACAACTGATCAGCGATATAATAGTTAGCATAAACTCGTAGATGACTAAATAGTGCACCTCAACCAGATTCGTGCTTATCGACCTTTCCAAACCTTTAAAAAACCTCTGCTTGCATGGAGAACAATCGCCTAAAATCAGAAGTTGCCCCTTTCCACCACCTCTGCGTAGAACATAATGCACACCGTAGGACCATTGACGATCGATGATTAACCAAATATGCGTTTGATCTCGACCTAACGATCTAACGGGAATATGTGTATTGAAGGCATACTGGAGTTCACGAATGTCCATCATCACAATTGCACAGAAGGAGTCGAGTTTTGCGTAGCTAATACCTTCGCACGAGCGGCTGGCGACTCCAGTGACGCCATTCTGCAATATCTTCTCATACTTGCGGGTCTTCGAGAGAACAATAGAGCTTGTTGGAAAGAAGAATCATTGGGCGTTATTATGGTGCTCTTAATTTTGCAAAAGAAGTTATTCTCGTATGAAGCATAAAAACCTGCTTGCGATTAGCCCCTAACCCATCCGAAATATTTCATGAACGCGGGAAGACTCAGAGTGCGAGTGGGTAGAAAAAGATGACGTTGGCATGCCATCTTCCGTTTCCCAAGAGCCCTTCTCCTTGAAAAAAGATAAAGCTCGGAAAACGCACCGCAATTTCCCCTCGTCAACAGTCAACGCTCTAGCTCCATTTTGCGGTCTGATCGCAAAGCGGTCTCAGCCAGGGGCTACTCTCTTTTCTTGAAAGATTTATACGCAGAGTATGGTCAGTTTTCCAGCCTTTCACAGTAACATAGGTAAGTTTGGACTGATTTATATAATATTCGTATGTATTTAATGATGTTTTGTATTGTTTAGGTGTTCATATCATGACCATGTAATTATTTCGGTTTACACTTCCACTTACTAAAATTCAGATAGCCGGATATGTCTTGTACGAACACCTAGCGGTAGTGACTTAATTATATTGTCTTTATTTGATGATGAAGCCTTTCAGTTTATCTTCTAATCCGAGAAGCCCTCCCTCCCGACGGGCGGTAGTGATGTCATTGCATCCCCGGCAAGCAACGCAACTCTACGAATACAGGGGGGGCAAGAGGGGCAAAAGTCCTTTGATAAGTCACATATTCAGCAAAGTTTTCGCTGGCTCCAGACAGAGGACGCGTGGATAGCGTAGACCAGGGCGGAAGTCCTCAAGATGTTCCCTCCTACAAGCAGCGATCTGGCTTTCGCTTCATCACCTTCAAATGTGCACCAAAACATATGGAGTTATCTCCGCAGTCGCAGCTGGCTGGAGAGGACCTTTGGAATTTCCACAGGACCACCTCCAAACAGCAGCGAAAACTGTCTAGTAATGGGAGTCACCCAGTGATAGCACCTGGAGACGGCAGTACTTCTCGATCTCTGCATGACCTCCAACGTCGACACTCCAGAAAACGTCGCCACGGGTCTAGGAACATCATCTTCGGCCACCGGTCGCGAAAGCGCGGGTTGATCGGTATGGATCCGGAGCTACCTGGGAACTGCGGAACAGCCAACTATTTTCTTTCGTAGGCCCGGACATAAGCGAGCGGCTGGCAGGTACATTGACCAACTCGTGAAAGATATCCTCCTCAAGCACCCGCATGTCGTCGTCCGTACTCTTGAACTTTTTGGGTAGCTGCTTACAGCTCTTGGTGCCACCATATGGAAATCGATTGGAGAAACTCTCGCCTACTTGGAATGGAAGGGGCTGAGTACCTAAAGAAGATGGAATATCCAAGTAGGTCACCTGACCTGAATCCCCTCAATTACCCGGTTCGGGCGGAGTTCAATAGGGTGGTCTACGGTGGCGGAGAAATCGACTATCTCGCTGATCTCAGGGCACCACATCGCGGTCGCGCGCCAGAATCTCTCGATGGCGCTCGTCCAGAAGTCTGTGCGGACGTGGCCTGGTAGTATTTAATATGCCCTTTGATATGGTGGTGAAAATGTCCGATCAGACTCTAATTAATGTGTAACTTATAGCGCCTCGAAAGTCAATAAAGAAAAGTGACTTTTTGCCCCCCCCCCTGTATGTCCTTCCCATTAGATCCAACAGTTAGGGCCGAGAGAGGAGGGGAGTCGTACCGGAATCTTGTTCGTGGGGGGGGGGGTACTGACACCACCATTTCACACACCACGATGCTGTACCCTGTCCATGGGCGAGCCCCCCCCCACCCCGGCGCAAAGAACTCCTGAGTTTCTGGGGTCGTAATAGTAGAATTTTGACGGAAATTTGGCGACTGGGAACAGTGACAATGTAGAACGGAATAGGTGACGTTAGCCGAGCATACATTTACCAGTTAGCCCTGTAGAATCTATGCTATCTTGCTGGACTGTGCGGATAAGCAATCACCAGGAATCGTGACCCTGTTACCCTATTTCCCTACAGGCAAGTACACCGAGGCCAAAGGTAAAGGTATTGGTAAATGAGTATTGTTGTGCATTTGACCAACACTGCCCCACATTGTTTCAGAGGTCAGAGTATATCAAAGGGTCACCCGATAAGTATTTAAGCGGGAGAGCGATCATCACTTTGCCCTTCGCCGTACCACATTCATCTTACTCTGTTGTGTGATATTTCGCAACCTCTTTCTACCCGTGGTGACCCGAACTTGTACAGCCGTTTTCAGAGCATGCTTCCGTGGGTGGTTCTTGTAGCATTTCTGCTAATGTGGACACCTGAGACTTGTGAAGCGTATCCCTACTACGGCCCACTCATGGGACCTCCTCCACCACCACCACCTCCAATGATGGTACCTATGATGGGACCACCGCCACCACCAATGATGAGACCGTTTCGTCCGAGAAGTGAGTCTGAGATTCGAATTTAGGGTCAGCGAGGTTTTCATCACCATTATTTCTATCTTTTTCAGATCCTGTCCGAGGGATGATAGAAGGAGCGGTGGTTGGCGGTCTGCTTGGAGCTGTCGCAGGATGATAGCGATACAGGAGAAAAGCTTTTTTCAGATAGATGTGTTTTTCAGATCGCTATCTTCTATTTTTCAATAGCACGCGATCGATTTGACCTACCTACAGCCAGTTGTCAAGGCACATAATGTTTTGCGGTATCTTGTTGATTGCTTTATAGGATACACTTAGCATGTGGATATTTTATTATACATTATTGATTTTATATGATAGAATCGATTGTAACGAGGAACCGTAAATGGATGTATATAGAGTATATATTATTATAGAAATCTTGCAGTTTCACAGAGGCGTTGCCCTTCCGTAGATACTTTGAAATGAATATATGCATTATTCTTTTTGTTATGTATGAGATGCTAGCTGACCTAGAGCCTCAAAAGTATAACTGCATGTATAAATGAATAAAAATATAAATAAAAGTGGATGTTAGGCGATGCAAATTCTTCATGATCCAGTCATGTGTGTTCTTGAAGATGACACGGACAAGACAATCGTGAGTTGTCGCGCGCGTCGTATAGTGCGGCGATGCGCGGCAAATTCACGAATGCATCAGTCTGTCTATTACTGCAGTAAAATACATGTGAATCCCTCTGTCTCTTTAACGCTCAACTTAAATGACCAGCTAAGACAACTTGCCCATGGTGCGTCTATCGCTCGCCACGCCCACCAACGCAGCATATTACGATAGTTTTATCGCATACCCTTCTGTAAGGTTACGAGGCTGTCTAAACTTGACAATATTCTTAGGAAGTAATCTTGAGCCAAGTTCTCAATTCTCAGGGAGCAAGTGGAAGCTTATGGTTAGGAAGAAACAGCCGTTTTTTAGGGCCAGTTTTAGTTCTAGTTAGGCAATGGTAAGACACCAGCTCTGAGTAGTCCTACTCGATTACTCCACGCATGCTGGTTTCAGCTGGACATCACGTGGACTTATGGTTCCCAAACCTTGATAATCCATCTCTGCACCGATCGTCTCCAGAAAGACACAAGATATCAAATAACCCAGGTTCTGTCACGGCTTGCTTCTCAGAGCTCTTGTTCGCTGCCGACGTAGGACGGGGAGGTGGATTGGCACGGCGCCAGCACGGTTCTCACCAAATTTTGTGGCTAACGGCTAACCCCTCTTCCTCAGAAGGAGGAGAACGGGCTGGCACCATGCCAAACCGTGCCCACCCCCTGACACGACCATCCGTAGCAAGTCTACTTTCCAAAGCAGAACTATACTGTAATGGAAGTACCTTCATCGGGTTTTTACACTGGTAGCTATATTGTCCATAAACTTGTGCCGATTGGTACTGCAGTGGAATCACTTGAGTCATCTAAAAATGAAAATACTTCGTTTTCATGGATGATCTTCGCGAAACAACAATTGCTACAAAAGAAACTCACATCAGCTGTGGTTGCAGGTTGGAGAGGATATACGACGCCAGCCGATCCTCCGACCATCATGGACAACGTGGCGAAGTCTATCTGGAATCAACAATTACTAAGACTGAGGCCAAATTAGGAAGTTTCCACGACCGCTTTTACGGTAGACCATCTTTAGTACCTTTTATCACCGCTTCTGCGGTAGAGCGCTTCATTTAGCAAACGGCTATAGTGTGCCGTTGAAGGCACGTTCTGCGATAAACTCTATTACCACTCAAGTGTGTTAGATGATCCGTTAGGGGATTGTAGAGGCTGTATACATTCGAAAGCAAAAATATGCACGTATTCCGGCAGATTACTTAGGCCCGTGAGCACCCACTTCCACTGGTTGCTAGCTACTGGCTAGTAGAAATTATACTTTATCTCTCCATTCCGAAAGGTGGGAGTGAGGTGGTAAGGTAGAAAATCTGATGCTTATGATAACAACGAGTGGAAATCTGCACAAACGGGCCTTCTCTTTACTGAAGCACGTACAAGTCGGGACTGGCACAGAGTCCTTTGAACGGCATTTCAGGCGGTTTTTTCTGCTTTTTTCTGTGCTGATCAGTTACCAGCACTTTGACGTTCATATTTAAAATCCTTTACCTGCCATCTGCGGTCGTGGGTTTTGCGTTTAGGCGATTTAACCCAGATCAGATGTGCAGGGCTTGTGAGAACAGAGCACGAGTAGATAAAGAACCCTCAACATGGGCTTCCAGCTCCACCCATTGCGGGGAACTGCGCCCACTTTCCGAGAGTTCCGACCATTTAATTCGGTTCATTTCACAAGAAACTAGAGGAGCCTACTCGAAGTAAACAGCGTTTTCCGAAGCAGACGGCATTATTATGTCCACAAACGTGAAACTGAAGAAGGATCAAAACTTTTTGAAAACTACGGAAATTTCCAGGAAGTGGGCGTTCCCAACGGGTCGCAACCTAATGTTCCAGTGCACAAATGTGGGTATACGAGCCCGGTGTGTGAGGGGTGGGGGTGTAAAAAGTTACACAAATCCAAATTTCGCGAAAAAAACCAATTCCAGGATCCTAAAGTCCCAAGAAAATTCCTTAAGAAAAAGAGCGGAATCGTATGTGCAGATATATCATCTTTCGATTAGTGTGTATGGGCGAAATAGAGAAAGTGAAAAAAGTCACAGGAGCAGGAGTAAAATAGCGAAATTCAAAAGGCCATGAGCGCGTTGAAAAGTGGACGTGGTTGTCGGGGTGGTGCATGCAGTTACGTTCGGTGTGGTTTGGTTAATTAATTGGTTAACAGTGGTGGCTGTTGGAAATTTGATTTTAATGTGTCCAATTTGCGAATAAAGTGCTAGATACAGGATCCATCAGAGCGACGGAATATGGTACTCCACCATGGCGCAGTTCGGCTTGGTATGGGCACTGAAGAGTACTCAGCTAAGCTTTGATAGGCCACCTTGCAAATATCTGTCAATTTAGTTACCATAATGGCTCCCATGGTCATTTGCAGCCTCACGGGAAACCAGTGGCTTCCACAGACTAGGTACTGGTATTCAACGTACACGAATGTACTAGCGAAACTGCGAAATGCTCCCTCCAAGCCAAACAGTATACCCCCCTCTAGTATACCTGGTCGCACAGGCCCATACTTCAAGAGGATTCCTTTCCTTACCAGAGTAGCATTACAGGCGAACCCATTTGGAGGGAACGTTGGCGAATACGATAGGAAACCATTCATTTTGACGAATAATTGTCGTAGAGCGTCATAAATTCGCCCAACATTGTCCAGATCACCGTTGTCTTCCGGCGAAGTCTGAAAGATTTCCATTAACATGGTAAATAAATTAAATAGTTAATTTTTTGCTCTCATTCCATCCGATGCTGAATAACTATGAATAACTGCTGAAAGTGCACTATAGAAATGTGCTTGAAGACGAAGTCCACGCCGGTCGGAGGCAATCTCACCCCTGTGCCTACCTTATTATGCGCTCCTCCTTTCTAAGATAATAGGGGAGCGCTGCAGTATCCAAGGTATAGAGATGGATTTGACTCCGCCCACACGACACGTGGATCCTCGTGGACCCTGCTCGGAGGCAAACAAATAGATAGACAAACAAACAAATACGCAAATAAAAATTCAATCGTGATTTTGGTTTAGTTTCCGTCAATAACCAGGTTAGTTTTCGACTGTAGGGAAGGAATTATTAAATCCTCAAAGGCATTGGCACGGCAATTTGTTACTCCAAAAAGGTGAAAATTTGCAAGAATCCTGGTGCAAGCTGAACATTCAGGCCCATGGGTACCCTTTAGGACCATGCCGACCCCCAGTGGCTACCACCTATTAGCTGGTAGCCCAGCTACTGACTCTCAGCATTCCGAGTGGCGAGTGTGAAGTGATAACAGGGAAGAGTTGATACCATTATGATAACAAGAAGTGAGAATTCGCACGTACACGCTTTCTCCTAACTGTATGCATACAAGCTGGCGTCGGCACAATAACTATTGTTCTAGGGAGCAAGTGGTACGGTCGGCGACCACGGACTCACACAATATTCGGCGCGCTTTAAATAAAAAAGCGGCCCGGTAGATTTTTCATGATGTTGATGGTACTCCTGAGCTTTTGAGTTTCAGCTGATGTTTTATGGCCGACGGTTTATTTTTATCAGATAAACTGTGTGTGACTTCCACACTGAATGCATTCACATCGGCTTTCGCTGCTTCTCTTGCAGTTCATTCTTGGAGGGCTGTTGACTCCGCTCAGCAGGAGTGTGAAACATGTAGCTTCTTCAAGCTCAAAACTGACGAACGCTAGGCGACCTAAGGTAGTAAGACTGCAAAGTGCTGTTCCAAGCCGTAGAATCGCAGTGAAGGGCTCAAGTTGTGGTCGGCAAAGGGCGATAACTAGTACCGCTTAGACCAGATAACGTATACTGATTTGATACCCTAGTGCACAGTTCATAAAAAGTTGGCAGGGGTTGAAGTTCCCTTTAGCGAACGCGTCTGATACCAAATAGAGGCAAAATCTATGGTTTAGTTAAACTGGATTAGATTCGATGCTGTATGTGGAACAATGCCTATCTACAGTCTTGTTCGCTGCCAGTGATTGGGAGTGTCAGTGTGGCTGGGTTTGGTGCGGCGCCAACATATTCTCCACCAATGTTGAAGCAGGTAAACGATAAGAATTGATGGGGAAAGGGATGGTACGGCGCCGAAGCCCTGACCTTCACGCGCCTGTCCTCCACAGCGGACAAGACTGTTCCCTGTCTCAGATTGTCGCTCGACAAAAAGACGCATCTAGGGAGGCGCTGCATGCAGAAAAGAGTGCGGAAATTTTAATACATATTATTAACCCCTTATGAAAAGAAGCTCAAGAAGAATTTGTTGTTGCAGCAGCGCAAGGTCCTGAGTATGCCCTGACTTTGGAGTCACCCACCGGAGAGAGCCTCTATCGTTACTTGTTCCTCAAACGTTTTTATACTAAAGAGGACTTGGACCAGTTACAGGAAGGAAAGCACTTTCGGAACTGCTACCTATTGCTAACGAGGCCCACTCTTGCGATCTGGGCTAGCCGTTGTGGCTCGAAGAAGGACCTCGCAAAAACATAAGAAGAGCAACGGTCAGAGTGAGGGCCATGATTTGCCAACGACAGTCAATATATATTCTACTCGCATGCGAAGATCACATTTTATCGCTCGGTAAGCCGCGTCAAGGATCGGTGTCGGTTACGTAAGCCGCCACTGTATTGCATTCCACTTGACGCCTAAATACTTCTGTGAGTCACTTGCTCCCTACTGAACAATCATTATTGTGGCGGGGGGCCTTTATAGGCTTCATGTCTAACCTTTTTTTTTCTTAACTTATTTTGTATCACGTGAACCTCGTTGTTCCGAATCTGGAACTCCATTATATACTGCCTGTCATCGCGAGCTTTGCTATAATAATCAATAATCAACTTTGGACGAGTTTTCCGTAGGCATCTTGCCAATAACCACTGCGGTAGAGATGGCTGCACGTATGTACTCATATATCCATGCAGCACCACAGCCGCTTCATGCCAATCCCTTCGCTTCAAATTTTTTGCAAATGAAACAATACGAGCACCAGATACGGTCATCCATTTGTGGGCGGGTGGGCGCGGTGGCCGTCCGAGTCGGTAAATGTTGCCAGTTGTAATGCTTATTAGGCTTCCATTCCTGGAGAAGCGCAACGTAGCGCCGCCTTAGTGGCTCGGAAGCTTCTCGTCTCCAGGTCGCTTTCAATCCTAGTATTAGGAAATTATCGCGCCGACTGCCTTTGATTATTATTACTACTATGACTAAATTGTCAACTTGAATACTTCTTGCCTGATTATGTTATTGGAACATCATTCAAATTTTAACATAAGACCTCGAAGTGCAGCATTCGTTAGCAACTGCCGTGCGTTTCCGTACCCGTTCCAAAGCAGCGGTCCTAAATATTTAGAGTTGTCCGCGAAGTTCTTAGCGTTTTGCCGACTAATTCCTTTTACATTCACTGCTCTGATTAAAAAACTCCTCTGCCTTGCTTTCTCAGTAGCCACCATCCTGCTAAGAGCAATTTCTTGCGGCTGATCTGGACGGTATAATTGCCGTTTCACCATTGCTTGATAAACCCTCTTTTTTCAAGATTTTTTCAAGCATGTGAAAAGAGCACTTCGGACGATTTTTTTCTTCGGCTATAAATTGGGGCAATCCGCAATCGAAACAGCTCAACAAATTAACCAGGTGTGGGGGCCCAATAGTGCTAGAGAAAGCACTGTGCCGCAATGGCTCAACAAATGTCGTTCTGGAAATTTCAGCCTTGAAGGTGAGCCTCATAGCGAATATCTGACGAGGATTTTAGGGGGATTTTGGAAGGCTGACCCATCCCAAACAGTTCGAGAGATAGCAGAGCTAGGCCTTGGCAAATCCACTGTTGCAGATGGTCTGGAACGCATTGGGAAGGTGAAAAAACTCGACAATTGGGTGCCCCACAATCGGAGTGACCGGCAGGAATCGGCACGTCTCGAGGTTCCTTCTTCACTGCTTTTGCGCAAAAGAATTGACCCGTTTTTGAACGGATTTGTCACCTGTGATGAAAAATGGATCATGTATGATAACAGGAGACGTTCCGGACAGTGGTTGGATTTGGAGGAACCACCGAGGTAATTTTCAAAGCCGAACCCTCGCGAAAAAAAAATTCTGGTCAGGTTTGGTGGTCATCGGCTGTTGTAATCCACTATAACTTTTCATCACCAGGCCAAACCATCACAGCAGAACCCTACTGTGAACAAACCGACCAAATGTACCGAAAATATTGTCAGCTGCAGCCAACACTTATCAAAAGAAAGGGTCCGATTCTTTTGCATGACAACGCCCGCCCACACGTTTCACAAATCACTATCCATAAATTGACGAATTTGGGAGTTGAAGTTCTACCTCACCCACCATATTCTCTAGACCTTTCACCAACCGACTGTCACCTTTTCAGACATTTTCAGAACTTTCCTGCTGAGAAATACTTCATCAAACAGGACCAGGCAAAAAAGACCTTCGCAGATTTCGTGGATTCTCGACCACCCAGTTTTTCTTTGATGGGATTTCTCGACTGCTGCCACATTGGCAAAGTGTGCTGATTCGAATGGTGCTTGTTTGGATTAAATCCGATGAGTGTTAAGAAAGTTATGATCGTTTAAAGTTAAACACCCAAAACGCTAAGAACTTTCCGCGAACAACCTTAATAAATTGCCCACCAACTTCGCTCTTTGGCGAGAATAATCAAAGCGTAGCAAAAAAAAACACCAGCGTGGAAGACAAAATGGTAGGCCTAACTCCGCTTATATCATCAAGTATGTGCAGAGATTGTTCACCTGGAAGATTTCGATGTAGGATCCTGCTGGAAGATTCCATCGGAAAAGTTGCTCGAATCCTCGCCATAGCTAAAGATAGTTTATTAGTGACAGTGAGTTACACTGGTAGGATTGCCAATTGATATTTCGCCTTCGCCTTACTCAACCCAAGCAAGGAATCCAAAAAGAGTATTGAGTATTTCAACCAAGTTTTCAATCAAAATCAGCTACATTGCATTATCCCCTGTTTTTGATTACGTGCTGTCGTGACTACTAAGTTTCTAAGAAGCAGACAAGGAGGTCCTCGTTGCGGTGGCCCTGCGAAAGCCTATTACAAGTAGTGTAACGCATAACTAGTTCGCGGCAATGTGGCCTACAGAAAGTCTAGTTGAGCTGCTCGCTAATTGCCGCGCCACCACCTACATTCAATACCCATCCCATGAGGAAGTGCCGGCTAGGGAGCGTCCCACACACGTTTCGGAATAGCGCCGCCTATTCCCATCAACGGCTGCCCGCCTAATAGTGGCAAGGATGTGGCAACGGACTGGCTCCGGCGCAAAAAGTACGTGCCACAGGAACGCTTCAACGAGACTGGTCAAATCACTACAATTCTTCGCGTTGTTTCTCGATGACATCCACTAAATCTTCGCAGGATCCACCAGTAAGCCGTAACTGGTGGGAGCTCCGGTTTAAGATCTCTTCGTTCAAAATCCTACAATTACTAAGATTCGTTAGAAAATTTACCTGCACACGACATCCAGTGTCGGTAGGTACTGTTGCGGCTAGTCTGTTTAGGGTGTCGATGACTTGATGAGGATCACGACTGGACGACACAGCCATCACATCAGCCCCTTAATGAAAGAAAAAATTCTGACCAATAAAGACAATATATATGTACCAGACGCTTTGTGCGCGGAAATCCGTGATGTCTCGATATTATCCACAGCCATGAATCAACTACTCAAGCACGCGGGAGCGTGCCAAAGGAGGTATAAAGAGCGGAAGCAGTTTAACGGCTTATCGTGTGATGCAAAAATTCTCCTGAATGTTCTCTTGATTATTTGAGTAAGTTCTATCCTTTTCTGCGATGCGATGATGCGATGCAAAATCTCGTCCATGTGAACGCAGTTGGGTTCGCTTTTCTCTTTCTCCGTGGGTTACAATTCCTACGCTATTCTGTCACTTTCCTTCGTTCCATCAGAACTTCATGAAAACGTTAGTAAACTTTCGTTACCCAGAAACTTATGTTATTGGTTCTTGTTATATTCGAGTCCTCATGTTACCATTCAATAAAGTTCATTGACCCAAGTTTGAGATTTTGTTAGCAGACTCAAGACCTCGAATAAGCAGAATGCTGTAGAGTGCGCGCGAGATCCAGCGAAAGGAATATAAGAGCAGAGCGAATCACGAGCGACATAACAAGAGAGCATCGCAGATAATGTGGAGTTCATAGGGTATCCTCAAGAAAAAAAAACATCAGAAGCTCTGAAGCAGTAGAAAGAAGTCCACAATCAAAGGAATTCAACGCCTAGAAGAAGAGCTTCAACAAATTCATAAATATTGTCAAAATTGCAGCTCTCCCTAGAAATCATCACGACGGTTTGAAGGAGGAATCAGCCTCGAATCTCAGGGAGAATACGGAGCGATGCGCTCCTGTTTGAAACACTACTCCGATTCTTGCCCTGAATTTCGGACAGTGAGTGAAAGATTATAGTCACTGGAAAGATGATGATGCGCCATTTCTCTGGACATGTAGTGCGAGACGGGCAACTTCTGCTTGAAAAACATCAAAAGGTGGTACCATAGCCAGAAAACAGGATACGGCTCCGCATTATGCACGCTACCGGCAGAGACTCTGGACATTCTAGCTCAGAAGTAGAGTACGAGAACGCCGCCGATCAAACCCTGAAAAGACTGGCAGTGCTGCACACTCCCTCTGAGCTTTCATTAACTCTTCCATAAGGGGGAGGAGTATCGCGGAAATACCCCGATATCTCAGGCGCAGATAATGGTCATTGACCAAGGGCTCACGAGCGCGCGGGAGCACGCTAAAACGGGTATAACAGCGGGAACAGTCTAAAGGGTTACCGTGTCGTGTGCTCTTTCATTCCTATCTCTTACCGATTTCTTATTCGGCGATTATGCGCAGGGTACAGCATCGTTGTGTCAAACCCATGGGGGGGGGGTCGTACTTTTGCTCTGGGGAGGGGGGTCGTATTTGTAAGACAAATTTATTTTGATAGTTGATTTTTTCTTGTGGAAAAGGGGGGTCGTATTAATTTTTTGTTTTATATGCTCGTCCGTCGGCGAAGAAGCCGTCGCTCGTCCGTCGGCGAAGAAGCCGTGGAGGCGGAGGAGGGGGGGGGGGTCGTGCCTGGACCCCATTCGAAGGGGGGGGGGTCGTACTCACACCGACATTTCGCACATCCCCATGCTGTACGACTCTCTTCGCCGCGCTGTTGCCTGGTCCCACTGGTACACGGACAACTTAAACTCAGTCCATTTAATCGCGTGAAGTTTCTGTTTTTCCCTGCGCGCTCACGTCTGCATGACCCTCTATGGTCACTGTGACCTTACACCATCCTTTTTCATTCACGATAAGTGGCTCATCCACCCCGGAAATTCCGTCTCTCGGAAAAAGCTCATCCGCAGGGTTGCGACACATTTTTTGTACTCTCCGATGCCTTAGCGGCAGCGGTCCTCTATTTCTCTGCGCTCTGGCCTTTCGCGCCAGGACCCCAAGCAGAGGCTCTAGTTTTCGCGTAACCGGCCCCGTCAGCTTGAACAGCACCTAGTTCCTTCACATCCTGATTGGGTACTACTTTCCGACAATAACAGGATAAGCAAAAGTTGTTCGTGGTTTGTAATACTAGAGGTGCATTGCACCAAAAAGAATCCACATTGTTGAGTACAGGGCACATCTTTGTTGGGGAATCCCAACAGGGGGTCGTATTTGGCCGCCAGGAGAGGGGGGTCGTATTTGGGCTGAGAAAAATTTATTTTGATAGTTGATTTTTCTCGCTTCACGGACGTTGTAAAGGGGGGAGGCTTTTTGTGATTTTCCTGTTTCATGTGTACTATACCTATATACCCCCCTCCCCTCCCTCTCCCCCCGCTCGACAGCAAAATTTTTGGGAAAAAGTAGGGAAGTTTTCGGGAAATTTTGGAAAAAGTGGCAGGAAGTTGGGAAAATCTGAGAATTGGTAGAAGGGGGGGGGGTCGTATTGTCTCGCGGCTTTTCCTGTTTCACATGTGCTATTTACCCCTCCCTTCTCCCCTTCCCCCACCCTGCTCGACGGCTCGATTCGATGAGGAGGGACAGAGGGCCGGGGGGTCGTACCAACTCCCAAAAAAAGGGGGGTCGTACAGACTCGACTAAAATCCCCAACCAATGATGTGCCCTGGTTGGGTAAAGCCTTCGCGATTTTGTAAAAAAAATTGTTACCATTAGTGAGGATTCCCCGGCTGTTAGGAACTTATATTTTCGGCAGTTTTCAGTGCCTGTTCTGGGTTCACGTGAATCGCAATATCTTTTTTTGGGTCCATCGATGACCCTCACTGAGTTATTATTGCCTTAGTTAGCGAGGCTGTCATGAGGGAATCTCCGACTAATGTAGAAGAGTAGTTAGACAAGTAATGCTTCTTCCTGGATTTGGTTAGGCGAAATATTGACAGTCTGTTAATCCACAACGAATGACGGAAACCCTTCAATTATATTATCAAAAGAACCTCCAAAAACAACGAATATCTCCTAAAGGAACTCAATTTCACCTTGTCAAATCCTTTCCAGAAACGGCGGGTTTTTACGTAATGAGGTTCTCTCTTGATTATGTTACGTTCTTTGTTTT